CAAGCTCTTATAACAAAACTTTAAGATAATTATCATAATAGCCAACCTTAATTTCTTCCTTCGTAATTAAGTATATTATTGAGTCTACAAAGCTTTAGTTCAAGGCAAACTTATAAACAAGAAATTGCTGATCAAACTCCTTTCTTAATTCTCCCCACTAATCCTAAGTTTCACCCCCCATCTATTAAGTAAACCTACGAGTACGTTCTCGTATTTCGCTCGTGCTATTACTGAGTCACGTTGACTTTCACAAGTTGGTTGAATAAGCTGAAGTTTAACTTTGGATCTACCTACTACGTAGAAAGTTTATAATGAAACGATGTACCTACCTACCTTTGTTAGCTAATTAACTAACTATTTTATACTTTAACTTGATGCTATATTTTGTGCTGTAAATGCTGCGCAATTCATGCATAATCATGAAGCTAAGTTACCTAGAAGCTAAATTGCATATCGTCCCTATAGATCCAGTTCTTATTATTACAATCACGAAAGTAATATGTCTACCTACTGAAAAAGTATAACCAAAGCTAAGATAAACTAAGTTACAAGTATAAAGGTCCAAAAGTGCGCATCTGTTAGTACATGGTACATGGGACTAATTTTGGTCAACTGTTTTTACAGAAAGTAGTCATAATTTATAGATAGGGATGTCATTGGTCCGCAGCAAGCAGAGCATACGCATCAAGCTTCGGCAATACCGAACATTCTAGATAGGATAGCAATCTGAATGCAAATGGCCGACCAGTCGGCAACATTCGTTAATTTGGAACTGGATGGATACACACGATGTCAGCTTGCAGAGTGCCTTCTAGAGAGCCGTATTGTAGCAAATATAAGGCAAATCGATCTGCTGCGACGCCGAGGATCGGGTTCACTGGTCGAGAAACGACTGGAAAGGTTTTGGAATTCAAAAAGGATCAATTGGTATTTGGTACACTACAAGACAAAGCAACGGGTGAAAATCTTCAGAGTGAAATCTGCCTGATGGACAGCCTTTGGACCATTTTGTAGCCAAATTCAGACAGCCTGATAGCATGTGATTGCTTGAAGCTTTAAGTCATGGATAAAAGGAATTATTAAAGGTTCTCGCTGGTATAACGAGTTTTATACCTACTACTGACTGTGTTGATGATAAACATACATAACCACAGTAGATATCTTACTATGATACCTACATCCAGAGTGATTGATTTGAAAGCCTGCGGGGCGTGTTATGACGGGCTATTGTGTGGGCAACAGTTCTGTGTATTCAAGCTCAACCAATATGAGTAAAATGAAAAACCTTTGAAGCTTATCAGATACGTTTTCTTTTTTGCTGGGCTATAATAGCCAGTTGCCAGCCAGCTGGACTATGGATACTAGACAATACTACACATTACTTAATGCCTGGATCAATTCTGAACAAGTAAAAACCTTAAATCAACAAAATGAATCCGAGAAAGCTGCAACTTACTTAACCTAGGCAAAAGTATGTTTGGAATGTTTGGATCTATAAAGTGAATAAATTATACACGTGAGGCTGGAGACCAATGCCTGCTCCTTCGTAAATGGTCAAAAACCGTCCTACTAGAGCAGAATATTCGATTGGTCTGACAATCAGCCAAGTCAAAAAATAAATTATTGAATAAAGTCCAATATTCTTTGAATTTTATCAATTACGTGCCAAACTGTCCATGGAAACGTCTGAAAACTCAAATATTAACGTCACGTTTTAACAATTTAAGTCTAATTATGGTGTAAATCACGCTACGCCAACGTTTGAGCCGAACGCGATCGAAAGTGACTCACCATTCATGTCGTCTGAACCGAACGAATAAGAAAACTGCAGTAATTTTTAACTCTTTACTAAACCTTATATTTTATTCGTATTACATAACCAGAGAAATAATGTTATGTAGGTTTGAGTATACTGCGTTTGTTTCTTGAACTAATTTATACCTGTAGCCTACGTAAACTACATAACGGATTTTGCGGTATCAGCAGGTGTTACGGCACCGTAATACTTGTTGAAATATATGACAGGATTTGTCTCTATCCCCGGTATCAACGCTAATATCTTTTATACGTCTTATGAGTCTTTATCCCACTTGGAAAAAGCCTTCTTGCAGCTTTTCCAATATTATTATTTCTGGAAGTTTCGAATGTTTAGATTTTTTTTTGTAAATATGGAATTGATTTTTACCGACCGAGAAGATTGAGCAAAGTATTTGTGCTGTATTAAGTGAGTGTAATATCAATTTCATCATAACAGTGGAGGAGAGACATCTACAGTTCACAACTGTGCCGAAAATGCATAGCTACAAACCAGATCAGTCTGATTGCGATCAAGTTACTCCATATGCATTTATTGGTGTCTGTAGCCATGTTTCGTATTTGAACAGTCGTGTGTGATGCCAGTGAAAGCAATTATGTAATCCGGTCCACTCACGATTAGATCGGGCTTTTCATGTGTGGGCGAGACGCGGGCGCTACGCAGACGTGTGGTCGCGGCGACGGCTGCGGCGCAACTGGCGGGCGGCCGAGACCGAGCGACGCTGCCCCTTCCCCTCCATCCCGCGCCGCCGCAAAAAGGCAAGTTGGCGCCCAACGTGGTTTCAAACGTTAACGCGAGGTTTGAGGATTACACCAATTACATGTTGTTGGGATGGTCCGATGGAAATTTCCGTTAGTGCCACTCGTATTTTAATTGAGTTACGTGAGAGCTTAACCTTTTAGATTTTTCATTTTACGCGTCCTGATTTTTGATTGCCGGGATTTGTACGGAATTAGGTTTTAAATACAGCCTTTTTAGAAATATATCACATTGTTTTATTAATGTTTTAATACATTTTTTATTGTGACATTTGAATAAAACATCGACGGCAGTGAAACAGGTCTTGATCTCTAATTTCCGGTGCGGATCTATTGAACGCGTGATGAAGATCACCAAATCACCAATTACTTTTAGTATCTTCATTTTTCCCACAAAGGAAAAGATTCACAGATTTTGATTTTTCACAGGCTTCGCAAACATAGTCTGAGTAAATAGCTATATGTCACCGTTCAATCTGTAGGTTTACTCATAGTCGCTCTCCTATACAGGGTTTAAGTCCACATAAGTTTATAAATCCGCACCGTATTTACTCGTAGATTAGCTCACGTATTCAGAGCACGCGCCGTGTGTCACGTAAGCAGGTCACTTAAAGGAGACTAGAACGCGTATTTACTAAGTTGAACCTTTCAAGGGTCACACACACCCTGTATTATGAACGTGGAATCTAGGCGGTTCCATATTCAAAGCGTATGAAATATTAAATTCGGGTTTAATAATTCGACAGCACATCAAACTACATAATTTTGTTGCAACATCACACCTATTACAACTTACATAAGGCTTAGAACTGAGTGGCAAGTTGAACGCAACATGCGAAATGTTATCGAATTTGGGGCCAAATAGTTTTCACATCACGAAAAAATTTATATTGACAAAACTAAAATCAGTATCTACAAAATAAATGACGAACATCGAAAATAATAAAAACAAAAAATAAATTAAAATGCATTTATTTATACATAAACGAAATTAAAGTCAAATTCTACTTACAATATGTTTGTAATAATGGCAAATGTCCGTCACAACCATACAACTGGGAACTCGCCTTTCTCTTATTATAACTCCAATACGCATATCTTATACGTTTTGTTCGCATACTGTGTCCATATTGTATCCCTTGTTAAACAGAGAACTGGCCCAAAAGAAGGAAAAAATTTAAGGCGTGGTCATTCAGCGTCAAATTTAATAGTTCGTGACACCCAAAAGCATGAGTAACCTCATCTAGCCGTGTAGCATGTAATATATCAGATACTGCGTCAAGTGAGTACATAGGCACGAGCCCGCTGCGAGCTGCTCGCGCGTGGTTCGCAGGGAGATCGTAGCGACCCGCCGAGTGGCGGTATTCACTGCGAGCACAAAGGCGGCTCGCAGTAGGATTCAGGAGCTCGCAGCCAGATACGCGATGACCGTGGACGAGCCGTACTCTCTTGGAAGGTTGGTAACGTTACATGCTACGTTACGTGCTGCAGGCAGCACTGTGAGTAACGGCAGGTGAGTACCCAGCCAAAGAAGCCAAAAAGTTCGCACCACGTCTTTGTTCCAACGGAATAAGGTTGTATTATCAACTTTTTGTCCACTTTAGGTGTCATGAACTATTTGACGCTAATTTGAGCTATGGCGGATATTTGCCAACAAAAATTCTAATTCTAGAATAAAATGATATACAATCATATAAAATCATAATTATCACAATCAGTTACGTGCGCACTCATCTCAGGTACTTCGTTTCCTTTTTCCTTTATCAAGATCTCACCATTTTTAATAGTCTATTACTATTTTAATACTAAATTATTTTTTATACATAAATGCATATAATAATGTTGGTTCCATTAATAGTGGAATGAAAGATGAAATAAAAAGAAAAAAGTAATAATTATACTCAAATAAGTATAAACTAAAGAAAAATCTAAGCAAGCACTTAGATTTTGAATAAGAAGTCAAATACAATCAAGTCACTTGTAACACAAAATTAAATAATAACAAAAAAGACAAAACAATACGATCACAATTTTGTACATCCGAGGCTATGTAAAATGCATCTTTTATAATTTTTAGTTTTGACTAAAATACTTTTGCTTGTAAATACTGCAGACTCCTCAATTTTGACTGCTATAAATACCAAATAAATAAGTTTCTGAGATTCTTGTTTGATTAGATTTAATGTTCCATAGATTTATGATACCATTTTTAAGTCGTTAATCATTAAGAAAATTATACAAAACCACAACTTCTTTTCGCAGCAAGTTGCTGACTTTCTAGCATCATTCTAAATGTACAGCACACAATAATTCTACTGACACATGCTTGAGAGAGACACCGATATCCAAAAGCTAAACTTTTGTAGAGCGTTGTCTCTTTCATCCATGTATTATAAAAAAATATAAAGTTTGTGCTATGCTATTTTAAACTTTATGTATTTCGTATATTGTGCAGAAATTGTGCATAATTTGGCGAACCCATACTGACCCTATACAATCGCCTAAAGTGACCACTGAGAACTGAAACAAAAATAAATTGGGGCATTTTAATAACGTAAAAATAAAAGGATAACTAAAAAAATAAGATACAAAAATAAAAAGGAGGCATAACCAACCATGCAAGAGATAATGTTTAAAAAGGATAGATTATCTAATCAGTGAAAACAACATGGACGAATCCTCGTAGATTTAAAAGTGGTTTCACAATAATTTGTGAAATTATTTTTCCGTTCGAATTAATCCATTTCATTTCAGTTGTTAATAATAGAATGATTCATAGATAAATTCATCACCGTAAGGATCTTTAATGTTTCGTAACGTATTCACTATTGGAAACCAAATTCCTTCAGGTTTGTAATTTTGCTGTAGAGGCGCGAGTTACACGGCCTACATGGAGACTGATAGCTGCCACATACAAGCTCACCTCAGCTTAGTAGCCTTGCTATAAACACAAAACAGGACAGAAGGTAAACTTCATACTAAGCGCGCTCGAGCTATGCACACATAGACACCGCTCACGTACGCGTTATGTGGGACTGTCTTGGACGAATGCGAGCGCGACTGACGTTCGCTTGAGTCACGCCGCTCACGCGTTTCTCAGACACTCATGCTCTGACGCTCGCCTCAGCTGGATGGCCTTCCTGTAGCGGCGCGCATTCTTTGGTATCACACGCTCATATCATGGAGGCGTTCTCCTGTGCATCATGTGTGAGCCCATAGAGCCGGTGACACCAACCTTGACAGCTATCCATACGCTCACCTCAGCTTAGTAGCCTTTCTGACGAAGCGCGCGTTCATTTGTGTGATTGATACATCAACAATGATACGTCATTGCGGGTCCATAGAGCCGGTGACACCCACCTTGACAGCTGCCACTGTACACTCACTTCAGCTTAGTTGTCTTGATGTAAAGGCGCGTAATCTTCTGTGTCGCGCCAATGCAACGTCACTTTAGGACCCATACAGCCGGTGACACACCGTCACAATCTAAAGTCTAAAGCCTGACAGCTACTTGCACACACCTCAGCTTGGTGGCCTTTGGTGGTCAGGCGTTTCTCTGCGAGTGTGTCACGACAATACGACGCTACTTTGGGTGCCCATAAAGCCGGTGTCACAAGCCAATGACTCGAAGCGTGTAAACTGCCACGATACACTCACCTGAGCTTAGTGGCCTTGCTATAGGACCGGACGTTTCTCTGCGAATGTGTCACGCCAATACGACGCTACTTTGGGTGGCCATAAAGCCGGTGTCACAAGTCATTAATTCTAAGCGTCTAAACTGTCTCAGTTTGGTAGACTTGCTATAGTAATTCGGCCGGCCTTATAAGGCCGGACGTTTCTCTGTGTCACGTCAATACGACGCCACTGGGTGGCCATAAAGCCCGTGTCAAACAGTCACAGATTAATCAGTAGCACTGTCAACGCACCAACCGTGCGATGTGGAAGTCATAGGGGGGGGCCTATGTCNTACCTCAGCTTGGTGGCCTTGCTGTAGGTCTGGCGTTTCTCTGCGAGTGTGTCACGACAATACGATGCTACTTTGGGTGCCCATAAAGCCGGTGTCACAAGCCAATGACTCGAAGCGTGTAAACTGCCACGATACACTCACCTGAGCTTATTGGCCTTGCTATAGGACCGGACGTTTCTCTGCGAATGTGTCACGCCAATACGACGCCACTTTGGGTGGCCATAAAGCCGGTGTTACGCGGCCTCAGATTAAACAGCACCTACCATGCAATGTGGAAGTCATTGGGGAAGGCCTATGGCTGAAATGATGATGATGATTGTCAATGGCATTCCTCGGCCACCTGAGCTTGCTACTTTGGGTGGCCATAAAGCCCGGTAACAGATTAAACAGTAGCATTGTCAACGCACCAACCGTGCGATGTGGAAGTCATTGGGGGAGGCCTATGTTTGGGGGAGGCCTAGGCCTAGTTTTAGTGGTCAATGCTGGCCGTCGGCATGTGTCGGTGACATGCCATTATGACCCGTTCAGCATTACTATTAACGCTCGTTTTTCTATGACGCCCGACCGCTGCTCCGTTGAATTGACGTATGAGTGATATTGTCGGTGTTGACGGTAGTCAGCAAAAATTTTCACCGTTTGTTTTTTGTTTCTGTATTAGTTAAGGTATACAAGTGTAAATGTTACTGTATGTAAAACATACACACAATTCAATAAATTATTTGTATTTGTATTGTATTGTACCAATAAATCTAAACTACAAACTATGTCCAGCAGTGGACGTCCTGTGGCTGAAATGATGATGATGATTGTCAATGGCATTCTTTAGAGACTCACCTGAGCTTGGCGGCCTTGCTGTAGGGCCGCGCGTTGCGGTACACGTGTCCGCCCTGCGACACCAGCGTGCCGCGCGAGCTGGCCGGGCTCACGGCTGTATGCAGCGACTGCGGGGAGCCCGATGAACCGACGCCCGACCTGGACTACACTGGTAGTCACTCACCTGAGCTTGGCGGCCTTGCTGTAGGGCCGCGCGTTGCGGTACACGTGTCCGCCCTGCGACACCAGCGTGCCGCGCGAGCTGGCCGGGCTCACGGCTGTATGCAGCGACTGCGGGGAGCCCGATGAACCGACGCCCGACCTGGACTACACTGGTAGTCACTCACCTGAGCTTGGCGGCCTTGCTGTAGGGCCGCGCGTTGCGGTACACGTGTCCGCCCTGCGACACCAGCGTGCCGCGCGAGCTGGCCGGGCTCACGGCTGTATGCAGCGACTGCGGGGAGCCCGATGAACCGACGCCCGACCTGGACTACACTGGTAGTCACTCACCTGAGCTTGGCGGCCTTGCTGTAGGGCCGCGCGTTGCGGTACACGTGTCCGCCCTGCGACACCAGCGTGCCGCGCGAGCTGGCCGGGCTCACGGCTGTATGCAGCGACTGCGGGGAGCCCGATGAACCGACGCCCGACCTGGACTACACTGGTAGTCACTCACCTGAGCTTGGCGGCCTTGCTGTAGGGCCGCGCGTTGCGGTACACGTGTCCGCCCTGCGACACCAGCGTGCCGCGCGAGCTGGCCGGGCTCACGGCTGTATGCAGCGACTGCGGGGAGCCCGATGAACCGACGCCCGACCTGGACTACACTGGTAGTCACTCACCTGAGCTTGGCGGCCTTGCTGTAGGGCCGCGCGTTGCGGTACACGTGTCCGCCCTGCGACACCAGCGTGCCGCGCGAGCTGGCCGGGCTCACGGCTGTATGCAGCGACTGCGGGGAGCCCGATGACACCGACGCTCGACGAGGGAAGCCGCGGGCCTCGTTAGTTGGGGTTACGTCACCTGATGTCAAAAATATTTTTTTAAGTATAGTTGTTGCAATTTACGAAGACGAGTGAGCTTTACTTGTGTGTGTACGTGTACATGCACATAACGATAGTGTAATTGTCAATTGAAACTTTTTAAAAGCGAGCCACCACACATGTGAAGCTCACTCGGCTTCGTGAATTGCAAGAATTATAATGCCATACGAGTGCAGGCTAAAGTTTTCTTCTTGCGTCTGGCAAATTACAGAGGCCAACGACCTATTGATCGTGGGAAGCACCTGGATGCGGGAGCGTAGGATCAGTTGTTGTGGAAATCCTTTAAAGAGACTTATATCGTATTGAACGTCATTTGGCTGAAACGTTGAAAGCGTCGTCCTCCTATGGAGACTAAGTCGGCGTAGTCGCTGTGCCTGTGTGATTTTGTATAGTGCGGTAACGGCGTTTTTACAATGTGAAGGCAGACATCTGCTGTCACATGTAATACGAAATTGTCGGTAACCGCGTTTGTCACGCTGCAAATCCGTCTGCCCCGCCGTCACCAGGATGTCGTCATAGTGCGACCTGCAGGACACTAGGTGGGAGCGAGAGGTGGGAACAGTCCCGCTGTGACGTACTAGCCGGGCTGCCGAAAGGCGACCGGCGCATGAGGCCCCGCCGTCACCAGCGTGTCGTCGGAGTGCGACCTGCAGGACACTATAGTCTGGTCTGCGAGCACGTAGAATTTTGTCCGATGACCCCAAGCTTCCCATCCTTATCGCAGCAACATAATTACGCACGAGCGATAAGGATGGGTAGCTCGGATGGGGCTTTAGGTGGGAGCGAGAGGTGGGAACAGTCCCGCTGTGACGTACCGGCCGGGCTGCCGACGGGCGTGTGGCGCGTGAGGTCAGGGCTGCTGCCCCACGGGCTGAGCGCGCCCAGCGGGCTCGACAGCCCCGCCGTCACCAGCGTGTCGTCGTCCGAGTCGGAACCTAAAGGAAGACAGCATTTTAATAGCCATAGTCTGGCACTTTGCACTGTTCACACGAGCTCCTTTTTTGAAGCGCTGTGTTCGTAGCAAGAGCTTAAGGATTGTTTCACACGACCTGCGATGACGCCTCTGGATTTATATGGAAGTTATGGAACCTAACACACAACGCCGCGGCGGCGGTGGCTAGTCTTAGTACGGCGGCTTTACAAATCCAAGGGAGAAGGTGGCGGTATCGCTGCCGCTGCAGTATTGTGTTCAACCACCTTAAAAGTGATCGACACTACGAGGTTTGTGAGTTTGCTTGTTCGATACACTGCGTCACACCCTCATAGTGAGGGTCGATGCTAGTTGAGAACACACACAAGTAATTTTCAAAATGAAAAGTGTGAAAACACTACAAGGTGTTGATGTTTTTACAATATTAGATTATATATTTTTTTGTATCGGATTTTTTTAAAATTAATTTATGCATTTGAAAAAGTTAAATACCTTCAAATACGTCGAAGAAGTTTTCTTTGGAGTCATTCTGTGCCATAGATGACTTTTTCTTCCTTTTGCTCTACAAATAAAAAAACAATTTTTACAATACATTCTGACATTTACCATTAGCAATACATGCAAAATTGACCCCCATCCTGAAAATTAATAATAAAAAATTCGATTACCTTGGTGAGTTCTTCAGCCACAGACATTTCTAAGGCATGGTGTGTCCGCGCGAGGGCCGCTAAAGCCTCTTCTAATACTCGGTTGCGTTCAATCTGCGACACAAATACCATTTTTTACTAACAATCCTTTAAAGCTACTACCTCCTAAGAACCCGCGTACAAAATTTTGCACAAAATAAAATACCTCTGTCAGTCACAGCTTTGTAATAATGTTTTAGTCGTAACGGCCCACTGTGCAATTTTTTGTACATATTCTTTAAAGTCTTCTATTGTTTTTTCGAATCTTCCCGCGACTAGTTTTACTCAAAATGACTTGATTAGACTATATTGCCTATGGCATCAATGCTGCCAACCAAAAAAAGGTAAAATCTGTCAAAACCAGCTGTGACGAACGAAGAAACATGACATTTTGCATGGAGCTAGGTGATGCGCTTGCACAGGGCATTGGAGATGGGTAATACAGCAAATAATAACGTAGCTCCCTGTGCCAGGTCGATGACAAAACAGAAAATTGCGCTACAGCGTGGCAACGACCCAAAAATTTTGCGAAAGTGAGTCAACACACACAGCACAGTGAATTAAGTTGACGAAATTGAAGCTCGCTTCCACCTTTGGCCTGATCATCTTACTTACTTACCATCAGGTGAGATACAAGCCAAAAGCTTTCTCGTTGTGGATAAAAAAAATACACAGCGCGGCCACCGGGCATACACCTGTGGCCTAATCCACAAGGGTCATTTTGATAGAACGATTACTCAGTAGGATCGCAACTCAGCGATTTCTTGTCATTGAAGTTTTGTTACGTCGTCTCATTGAAAAACAGTTCTAAATCCGTATTCACAAGGGTCATTTTTGATAGAAAGATTACTCGATAGGATCGTAACTCAGTGTTTTGTTGTCGTTGAAGTTTTGTTACGTGAATAAGCCTACAGACCTTGTCTAACGTGTACGGATTCGGTGTATCGCATCATAATATGAAAATACGCAAATATATCATTACTAGCGGCCGCCCGCGACTTCGTACGCGTGGATCCCGTTTTACCCCCTTCATCTATCTTACGCGGTTTAGATTTTTTCATACAAATGTTTTTTCCCGCTAACTCACGTTCCCGTGGGAATTTTGCAATATCCTGTTGTAACTAAGCTTTAAGTTTACTAAGGTACCTGCATGCCAAATTTCAAGCGTCTATCTTAAGCGGTTTAGATTTTTTCATACAAATGTTTTTTCCCGCTAACTCCCGTTACCGTGAGAATTTCGGGAATTCCTTTCTTAGTGCACCTCTACGGTACCTAAGCTACGTCCCTTCCAAATTTCAAGTGCCTACGTTTAGCCGTTTAGGCTGTGCGTTGATATGTCAGTCAGTCAGTTTCTCCTTTTATATATTTAGATATGCAAAGAAAGAAAAAATGAAATCATTACCTCCCTGTTGAGACGAGCGGCGTCGGCGTCACGCGCCTGTGCAACTAGTGCGGCGCAATGGCGCAGCGCTGCCAGCGCTTCAGCGCCGGAACCGCAAGCATGTTGGAAGCGCTGCAGAACACATCGACATTACTTTCGAAAGCACGTTGATCGTACAAATGGAAACCATACTCGATATTGAACCGTATGCTTGGGGCATAAATATCAAAATTTATTAGGTAGTATGTTTTTCTTTTCTTACATTCTTCTGGAATATTTTAATTGCAGTTCATGATGGTTATTCAATTTCGCGAAAAGGACTTAAAATATCGAATCCTATCTAAATCTTTTTTTTTATGCAAGACAAGACAGGTATTTGACCGCAATCGCACCTGGTGTTAAGTGAACTACAGATAAAACTATTTCAAAGGGACAAGCTTCACTACATTTTCAACACTGTAGCTTGTTGCGGCTACTTGTATAATTCTAATTTAGCTTATTTCAGCATACGAGTCTATATCAAATATTTCTCACCATATACGCTGAGTGGTGCAGCGAATTTCCGACCGACACGCTCTTGTCCAGTGCCGTCAAAATGGCGGAACACTCCCGCAGTTGCGTTTCCAGCAAGGCCAGGCTATTGGTCGCTGCGGTCAGCGCGTCTTGCATTGAGCCTGTAACATAAATTATAATCTTTGACATCTAGCTACGTGTGGGAACGGTTAAAAACACGGGACTATAAAAAACATATTTTGGCTGCTCCTGGGATTTACTCCTTTACAGAAGTGACATTGACATAATGCAACCATTATGTCAATGTGATAGACAACATAACTGAATTTTGAAGAAAAATTATGTGAGTGGAAATTCAAAGTAGAAGAAGCGAGAAATTTGGAATACCTAACATTTATGTGGTAAAAAAGGGTTTCTAAACCTATTTATTATTTTACCAGATATCAAAGTGCCGTTTACAAAATCTCCAATGCTACTCATGCATTTTGCACCATATCCTAATTGAAATAAAGCTTACCTAAAGGTTTGCACTCATCTTCCAGATCTTCCGTGGCCTCACGGGCCGCGTCGGGCGAGGCGCCGGCCCACAGGTAGTGGCCTGAATACGCGATGTGCTCGTTGAATGCCGTTATCCATGACTAGAAAAGAAAATGATAAGTGAATAACTTTGCGTTGAACACTTCATTCTTAGGCAAATAATTACATTCGCGTTAAACTTATTTGGTGAATATTCAATTCATAGACCAGTAACAGCATTGGTCAGTTACTGCGTAGGTCACTTATTAAAGTGATCAGCTGAATGATCACGAGTCAGCTTGGCTCCGTCTCGTACCGTCAGCAACTTGCAATATAAACTGACGTCAACCTGTCTAGCAGCAGTGATGTTTTCCCCCTGCACGGCGAGGCGGTGCGTGTCTCCGTCGCTGAGGCTGATCACGATGAGCGCGGGTTCGGTATCCGGCGCGGTCAGCTTGGCTCCGTCTAAGTAGCTGCGGCTTCGGCAGCGACCGCCTTCCCTGGCGCCTTCGGCTCGGGAACCGTAGTAGAGGAGCACTCCGCGTTGGAGAACCGCCTGTGTGGTAAGGGAATAGGGTTGAAATCAGCTTGGCGTAAAATTAAAAATAACCGGAGAAGTGACTTATAAGTGAATGTTCCAAATAACTATAAGTTACCTGCCCCCCTAGACAAAACGCACTTTTTGATCGAATCGAAAATCGAATCCGTCAAAACTCCATACAAAAAGGCGCTTTTCGACCACTTTTCGACTGGTTTGCGATTATAATTTGCACTTTGTCTAGACCCACTGGGCCCAATGTAAATAAAACAAAGCATTGATCGGTTGCTCTCCCAATCGGTGAACATTCGTCACCTAAAAGAGTTGACTGCGATATTTGTAGTAGGTATGTAATTGAAATTGGAATCAATATGGCAGAATGCTGAATGCAGACCGCTATCAACCGGTCAATTTAAAATCATTGGAGGAGATCTATCTGTCCTGTGGCTGAAATGATGATGATGGATGAAAAAAATGTTTGTCAAATTATTACGTCTTTATACGTCAGCAGTTTTACATTATTACGTCAGCAATCCGCATTATGTTTGCCAAACCAATTTGAACCTAAAGATTATTAGCTTTAAAACTGCTTTTCTCACCCAGACCGGTCGCCAACCGAGGAACCGTGATCGCTTGAGCAGCGGGCCCTCAAACCGGGCTGCTGTGCGCTGCAACCTCTGCACCGGCCTCACGTTGAGAACTTCCCGCACGTCGTTGTCTTTGGATATCTCTATGGCTAACTGGCCTGTAGACAAAATTGTACTTTATCACTACAGTATAAGGTAGCTTTTAGTACGGCTGTAAATAGCAGCAGTTACATAGGCCTCACGTTGAGAACTTCGCGCACGTCGTTGTCTTTGGATATCTCTATGGCTAACTGGCCTGTAGACAAAATTGAATATTATCACTACAGTATTAAGGCAGCTTTTAGTACGGCTGTAAGTAGCAGCTAAACCGGCCGCACGTTGAGAATTTTGCGCACGTCGTTATCTTAGGAGATCTCTAACAATGTTGTCTAACTGGCCTGTGGATAAAATTGAACATTACTGTTGAAGAATTGAAGTAGCTTTTTGTACTTTCCTATTACTGCAACATACGTAGAGCCAGGCATCTATTGAAACCATCATTAAAGGTTAAATAGCTTACTGTTCATACATCTTATAAGAATAAGGTACCGCCATGGGTTTCCCGGTTTGCAACGGAGGGATGTCGAATTTCCAGAGAAGGTTGCGCCTCCTACTCTTCTTAGTTGAAGACTCCACAAGTTATAAGACTCAAAACATTGTTCTCTGGCATCAAATCCAAAAGGTCTATGAAACCTTAACATGGTCAATCATATCTTATGACGAGTAAGTAAGGACAACTTTTTAATATTCATGTGTGACGAATTCCACTTGAGTAAAGATCAAATATCATCTTTTATCTTATAATCCACTCACCGCAGTTGTTCCTGAGCGTGGTATCGACGCCATTCTGCAGCAAGAGCACGGCGAGTCGCGTATGGCCTCTATACGCGGCGCAGTGCAGGCACGAGTTGCCTTGCGCGTCCACGCAGTTGATGTTTGGGGGGTTGGGGCCGCTTAGCTGAGGGAAAACAAAATTGAAAATATACATTTTGTGACTCATTTTCATTGTTCGTTCCAGCTCGCATTCGAAGTTCTGTAATTAAGGGCTAGGGCTCGCATTTAAAAAAAACTCATAAAACTAATTTATTTTTGCAAATAGGCTTTTAAAAAGCACTTTTGCACGTCCCAATATTAAGTATTAACCCTACCACTGCTTCGGGACAATATATTGGCTAGTGCTGAGAAGAAGCAGCNTTTAGATAATAAAGTTAAAACATTTAAAAATAATCGTATGAGAACGTTTTCGACTTCTCCACGGACGAACTCGCGGGCAAAAGCTATTTGTAAAATAATTAGACTAAATTAATAAAAGTGCCTACCCAAAGTCATTATTCCACGCGGACGAAGTCGCGGGCACAGCTAGTGTTATTATAATCAGTCAGTCTTTATTTTTTTCTCTTTAAATTGCATTAAAATTGAACTTATAAAGTGCCTTTATACTCTAACAGGTATCAAATTATGTATTAAAAAAGAAAAAGAAGGATTTATAGTCTAGATTTTTTTTAGTACTCGCAATATTCAGGACATCTACATAACACATCTCATGGTCGGGTCTTTTACCTTAATAATTTCTCAAAACAAAATTGGTAGTACGGAAGTTAGTATCTACTGTACTTGCCACTTGGATACCTTGGTGATAAATACTATGCTGCTTTTACACTGCGCGGAAATTAGCCAAGTCAAGTCAAAAAAACAGAGGAGTGGGGATGAAATTCATTCATTTTTCAGCAAAGTCANTTGCGATCGCCCGCTCCATAATATACTATCATGTTGTTGTATATGTTACGGTTAATGTGATAAATTGAAAATTATGAATAATTACCGACAGTCGCGGTAAAAGTGATAAATTAATAACATTTAACAGTGATTATTTAATCATTCAACCTTAGTACTAACAAATATCATAAAAGAGAACAACATCTGGTGTACGTGCTCTTGTACAGCCAAAATTTTTGAACGTTTTGATATCATATTAATATAATTTGGCATAATGAGTTTGGAATGTTTCTTGCATAATATTACTTTTCCATGATGCCCATAACATAATGTTTTGATTTAAAGTGAAAAATAGGTTAAGGTGCGGCGGGGGTGGCCCTTGGGCCACCCCTATGCCGCCTATTTAGTTTTATACACACATAAATGATCTCATATTAATCATATTTACCAAATCATGCGGTAATTATTCATAATAACCGGCGATTATTCATAATTTTCACATTTATCACTTTGACCGTAACATATACATCGCTGCCGCTCCACCGTCGCGTCGCCAGTTTCGTGCCCGCAGACTAAAAGATAACTTTATGCGTGGTACTGATGATGGTCAACGACTTTAGTTCGTTTACGGATCTCCTCATTTCTGACTCGATCTCGTAAAGAAACACCGTGCATAGCCCTTTCCATAGCACGATGTGCAACCTTGAGCTTCTGTATAAGGCCTATAGTGAGCGTGGAACGTGGGACCGACGACATCGTAAAGGTAGCAGGAAGGCGCTGGACGCAGGTCGCTACCAACCAAACATGGAAAGCATTGGGGGAGGCCTATGTTCAGCAGTGGACGTCCTATGGTTGAGATGATGATGATGATGAATCGTGGTACAGTCAGGCCCGCCGTCACTGACGTGTCGTCGTCGGAGCCTGGTGGAACACTAGGTAGGAACTAGAGGTGGGAAGAGTCTCGTCAACGCTGTCACCAGCGTGTCGTCGTCGTCGGAGCCTGGTGGGACACTAGGTAGGAACTAGAGGTGGGAACAGTCTCGTCAACGCCGTCACCAGCGTGTCGTTGTCGTCGGAGCCTGGTGGGACACTAGGTCGGAACTAGAGGTGGGAACAGTCTCGTCAACGCCGTCACCAGCGTGTCGTCGTCGTCGGAGCCTGGTGGGACACTAGGTCGGAACTAGAGGTGGGAACAGTCTCGTCAACGCCGTCACCAGCGTGTCGTCCGAGTGCGACCTGCAGGACACTATAGTCTGGTCTGCGAGCACGTAGAATTTTGTCCGATGACCCCAAGGATGGGTAGCCTTATCGCTCGCGCGTAATTATATTGCTGTCGCGACTGTGCGACGGGTGCCCGCAGTGAGTGTGCGAGCGCGACAGCAACATAATTACGCACGAGCGATAAGGATGGGTAGCTCGGACGGGGCTTTAGGTGGGAGCGAGAGGTGGGAACAGTCCCGCTGTGACGTACCGGCCGGGCTGCCGACGGGCGTGCGGCGCGTGAGGTCAGGGCTGCTGCCCCACGGGCTCAGCGCGCCCAGCGGGCTCGACAGCCCTGCCGTCACCAGCGTGTCGTCGTCCGAGTCCGACCCTGGAGGAAACAACTTGTTTGAGAACCATAAAGTTTATACCGGGTGTGGTTTTGTAAAACTCACTCAGGGGTGGTAGTACACATTGTCTAGTGTAATAATGACAGGAAAAATATAAATAAAATTTTAACTATAATTTGGTCGCTGAGCACGTAGAATTTTGTCCATTGACCCCAAGCTACCCATTCTTATCGCTCGCGCGGAATTATACTAATTATATTGCTGTCGCGACTGTGCGACGGGCGCCCGCAGTGAGTGTGCGAGCGCAACAGCAACATAATTACGCGCGAGCGATAAGGATGGGTAGCTTGGGGTCATTGGACAAAATTCTACGTGCTCAGAGACCGGGCTTTATTACTAAAAAAATGTTGTTCAAACATCTCCTAAAACTTTCGAGACGGCGCTTGTTACCGCCCGCATCACCTCTGCGTGCCCCGCTACACCACCGAGCACATGCGGCCGCCGCTGGATTTTTCCATGAAAATTTAAAATATATTTTTTATATTTTTTTAACATCAGTCTCGTGTATACTCCTGAGACGGGCGTTGTTTTACATACCACACCATGTATAAATAGCGGAATAGAGCCACAAAGAACTGAGCGAGCGAGATTCACTAGCAGCAACACTGTGATAAAGATTCGAGATGCCGTCGCCGTCACGTCAAACAGAACCGTTTTTTGCGTCTATTTGACAGTTCATTAGCACTTATTGGCACGCTAAAAATATAAGCTCTGAGATTTTTTCAGATTTTACGTAAGTGAAATGGTGTAGGTATGTTTACACTAAAATATGGTAACTAAGTGCGATAGTTAATAATGTTATAAAAAATATACCTTCAAATACGTCGAAGAAGTTTTCTTTGGAGTCATTCTGCGCCATAGATGACTTTTTCTTCCTTTTGCTCTACGAAAAATAAAAACAATTTTACAGTAACTTCTGACGATTACCTGAAAATACATGTTAAACTGACCCATCCGTTACTATCACCCAAAGCAAATGTTAAAATTTCAATTACCTTGGTGAGTTCTTCAGCCACGGACATTTCCAAGGCATGGTGTGTCCGCGCGAGGGCCGCTAAAGCCTCTTCTAATACTCGATTGCGTTCGATCTGCGACACAGATGTTTTTTAATTATCTTACAGTCAAGTCAACGATTAAACGATCAGATAAGTTACCACTACTACCAGGCCTGTTCATCTCCGCGAGTTTACATCGAAAACAAAACACGCACGATTGCCCCCTACAAGAGTACTATTCGACAAGGCGTCACATACGAGCGAACATTGACTCACGCACGCGTATTCTTGTGTATGATGGAAAAAAATAAAGAAAATGGTGTACTAAATACTGTGCAGTATTTAACTGCCTAAATAATAATAAAAACACAGAATGTACTTTTTTAAGTTGCCTCAAGACACGCCTCAAGGTAAATAAGTAGTTAATATTATTCATGATAATTCATGCTAAATCATGTATTTCCTCCGCCATTTTCTGCAGATTGGCACCTCACGTCACATCATTTTACCGAAGTCAGCCCTATAGCTTCGGCGCAGTACCGATCACTGACGTTTGTCAACAAAACTTCTGACAAACTTGCTTGACTCTTGAGACAAGCTAAATTACACCATATTGTTAATGACATTGAGCATACATTTTTTAAATACCTTCGCGAAGTAAAACTTCTGTACGTAGTACTTATTATTATTCTGTGCTACTACTATCAATACACTTAGAACTAATGTTTACCTCTAAAGGCATTCCTATCTGGGTAGCTTATCAAAACTTGGGTTAACTCTTTCGCAGTTCAATGAATATTGTATCAATATGGATCAATGGATAAATAAATATCTCATGGTACTTTTGAGTAAGTGAATCAGCGTAATGAACAAACCGTGTTTAACATGAACGTTTACGTACTACTACGCAAACAAATACTATATTACTGAGTAAATAAAGAAAATAAATGTATAGTCTGGCTCGCACACTCACTGCGGGCGCCCGTCGCACAGTCGCGACAGCAATATAATTGCGCGCGAGCGATAAGGATGGGTAGCTTGGGGTCATTGGCCAAAATTCTACGTGCTCCCGGACCAGACTATAGTTTTTTATATTATTACCTCTCTGTTGAGGCGAGCGGCGTCGGCGTCACGCGCCTGCGCGACAAGCGCGGCGCAATGGCGCAGCGCTGCCAGCGCTTCAGCGCCAGAGCCGCAAGCATGTTGGAAGCGCTGCAGAACACATTGACATTACTTTCGAAAGCACGTTGATCGTACAAATGGAAACCATACTCGATATTGAACCGTATGCTTGGGGCATAAATATCAAAATTCATTAGGAAATATGTCATTTTTAGCAAGGGTGTTTTTCTTTTCTTACATTCTTCTGGAGTGTTTTAATTGCAGTTCATGATGGTTTTCTAATTTCGCGACAAGGACTTAAATATTGAATCCTCAGACCACAGCCGCCGTCTGAAAATCAGCGTCATGTGGTATGCACTTGACACAAGCTGAGACGGGGACCTTTTTGCTGCTGCAACGCCGCCTAAGTAACGCTCCTGATTAATTTTAATTATCATTCTTTTGACTGGTTTTGTAATGTTGACCGTTTTATGTATGTATGTGTATTCATGTGGCAGCAAAATAAACGTTATTCTATTCTATTCTTAATCCCAGTATGTCTCAGTCTGAAATCGATGTTTGAACTACAGATAAAACTATTTCAAAGGGACAAGCTTCATTACATTTTCAACACTGTAGCTTGTTTCTGCCACTTGGTTATGAATCTAATTTAGATTGTTTTAAATACGAGCCTACAAATATATCGAATCCCAGTATGTCTCAGTCTGAAATCGATGTTTGAACTACAGATAAAACTATTTCAAAGGGACAAGCTTCACTACATTTTCAACACTGCTGCTTGTTGCGGCCACTTGTATAATTCTAATTTAGCTTAATTCAGAATACGAGTCTATATCAAATATTTCTCACCATATACGCAGAGTGGTGCAGCGAGTTTCCGACCGACACGCTCTTGTCCAGTGCCGTCAAAATGGCGGAACACTCCCGCAGTTGCGTTTCCAGCAACGCCAGGCTATTGGTCGCTGCGGTCAGCGCGTCTTGCATTGAGCCTGTAACAGAAATTACATAATATACTGGTCATCACAAAAATCGGCCCACCTACGTTTTACAGGAAAACTCGTTTCTACTGACACAATCATGGTGCCCCAACAATATTGGTGTTATTTGAAAGCCCAATAAATATACCTTAAGAAAAACACATTTAATTTCTTAATAAACGATTATAAACGATTAACATTATACAATAAATGATACTTGAAAAAATACTTCACTTTGGGCTCACCTCTGGGATCAATTAGACCAATTTTTATGGTTATAAAACCAAATAATGATCTCACGTGTCCTCTTTAACAGATGGATAGCGACTAATCCCAACTTAACAGTTTTATAGCCATAAAAGTTGGCTCAAGCGTAACTACCTATTGTTTGAAAAAGTTACTCTGGATTCTTCTACAGACACATTTTTGGGGTAAAAACCTTTCCTTTAATGAAATGAAGTTTAGAACTAGGCTTTTAAATGGTGCCAATATTGGTGGGAAGTGGGGATGCATAAGTTTGAACGTGCTTGTCGCGGGAGGGTCGATTTTTGTGATGATCAGTGTATTTTAAACTTTCATGTTGCATTTTTCGTCGTTGTCGTCGGGAAGGTAAAATCCCGTATTAGTAAGAAGTTCACAAAAAATATATTTCATAATTCAAATGAATTAATCTCGTGATAGCAACACCTTCATAACAGTGTAGAGCTAAATACGCGATGTGCTCATTGAATGCAGTAAGGCTGTGGTCTCTTATAAACGCCGCAGGCTGCGTGACAATCCTACTATACTGTTGTGGTATCTTTCAGGCGTTGACGTCGGCGTATGGCGTCGATAGGAACGTTAGACGCTGACTTCAAACGCCGCGTATAGCGTTTAATAGGATACCGTGGCTTTTGGGCCTTATTACAAAAAAGTTAAACACGGGACGAACACTAATTTAAAATGACATTTCCAAACTAAATGCCAATTTAAACCAGAGTCTAACTTTTTGTAATAAGGGAGTTTAAGTTCAATGGAATAAGATCTTACCTAAGGGTTTGCACTCATCCTCCAAGTCTTCCGTGGCCTCACGGGCCGCATCAGGCGAGGCGCCGGCCCACAGGTAGTGGCCTGAGTAAGCGATGTGCTCGTTGAATGCCGTTATCCACGACTGGAGAACAAAGAAATATTCATATGAGTTTATTTTGTGTTTAAATGTTTTAATGGTAGCAAATAAGTACATTAGCATTATATCAAAATCAAAATTTTTATTCTGTTTCGACCACAAGTGGCACTTATGAACGTCAAAATGTAGCAAAAAAAATAAAATAAAAGGTAGCCCTTATGGGGCACTTTACATGTCTCCTTATCTTTTGGGCCCTACCAGCGCTTCGAGACAAACATATGGCAAGTGCTGAGAAGAAACGCCGGAACAAACTATCTTATTGATATTATATCCCTGTGGTGAAATCAGTATCAAAGCCAGGCTGGCCATTTGGCGACGGCCAGTGGGTTATGTGAGACTCGAATCCCCCGGCAGAAGTGCCGTCCACAAGACGCCCCGTCCACTAAAACCCGACGGAGCCATTGAAACGTAGCCGCGATTTATAGGTTATATTGTTCATTCGTCCACGGCTCCGTTTCAGTTGTTATAATATAAAGTAATATTATTTTGTCTAGCTTAGCTAGCTAGGTCAGCTTGGCTCCGTCTA